CCATTTTTACCATTATGTGAATAAATTAACGAAACGTTGGTTCAAATTTGTAATCTATGAAAAACTCTCAATGAACTCGTCCTTTGATCCATTGTAATTTTCATTTTAATTTTAATATTGATTGGAAAATTATTGGAAAATTTTGGACAAATTCTTGTTTTTGTTGGTTCTTTGAGGAAACAGAGTCAAAGTTTCTATACTTCGCTTTTGTAATTTACGAAAACTTCTCCATAAAATTTAGGACCTTGTTCGTTTTCGAAGAGAGCTCGTTTTAACTTATGGAGAACCTTCGAAAATTATTTATTATTTGTCTGGATTATTCGAAGAGATTGAGCAAAAATGACTCCAGATTTCTGATTAATTGAGAATTTTCACTAAGACAGCTTTTTGTTCACTCGAGTCGAGCACCTTTTGAAAATTTTTCAATTTTTTTGATTTGAAAACAGATGAAATTTCAAATCGAAAAATTGAAAACACATGAAATTGCAAATCGAAACATTTGAAAATCTAAAATTCTAAACATCCAATAGTTCTAAAATTGGAAAAACGCGGAAAAACGCCGCGAAAACTAAAAACTTAAAACTCGAAAAAATTGATGGACCGAAACATTGGAAAGAAGAATAAACAAATTGAAAAATGGAGAATCCAAAAAATTCGAAAAATTATAGAATCGTCAGAACTGAAAAGTCGAAAAACTGTAACATTGAAAGACCGAAAAATTGAAAGCAAAATTAAAAATCGAAAAATTGAAAAATCGAATAAATGAAAAAGGTTTAAAATCAAATAATTGAAAGATGGAAAAATTCTAAAATCGTAAAATTAAAGGGAACATTTTTAAAATTTTAATTATTAGTTATTATATACATATTTAAAATGAAAACTAGGAAAATTTCAACTCAAAAATTGAAAAATCGACAAACTGAAGAATCTAAAATCGAAAAAACGAAAAAGAAGTTGAAAAATCAACAAGTTAAAAACCAAACATTGCAAATCGAAAAATTAAAGAAAATTAGAACACTGAAAAACCGAAAAATTGAAAGATTCATAAGCTGGAAAATCGGAAAACTGAAAAATTTAAAAATGAAAACTAGAAAAGATGCATAGGTATAGTAAAATTAAAGAAACAAAAAAAAAATTGGAATTAAAAAAAACAAAATCGAGACATTGAAAAATCGAACAACTGTAAAACTAAAGAAAATAAACTTGGTTGTTTAAAGTTGTTACAGACTGAAGAAAAACTGAAAAATTTGGAAATCGGGAAACTGAAAAATCTAAAATTGAAAAAACCAAAAAGAAGTTGAAACAAATTAAAGACTAAAAATTGTAAACCGAAAAATTGAAAAATTTCACGTTTAGAAAATTAGAACACTTGAAAACCGAAAAATTGAAAGATTCATAAGCTGGAAAATCGGAAAACTGAAAAATTTAAAAATGAAATCTCGAAGAGATGTATAGGTATAGTAAAATTGGAGAAACCAAAAAAAATTGAAATTTAAAAAAACAAAATCAAAACATTGAAAAATCGAAAAACTGTAAAACTAAGGTAAATAAACTTGGTTGTTTAAAGTTGTTAAAGATTGAAGAAAAATGGAAAAATTTGGAAATCGGGAAACTGAAAAATCCAAAATTGAAAAAACGAAAAAGAAGTTGAAAAATCAACAAATTAAAAACCAAAAATTGCAAAACGAAAAAATTAAAAATTTCACGTTTAGAAAATTAGAACGCTGAAAAACCGAAAAATTGAAAGATTCATAAGCTGGAAAATCGGAAAACTGAAAAATTTAAAAATGAAAACTCGAAGAGATGTATAGGTATATTAAAATTGGAGAAACTAAAAAAAATTGAAATTAAAAAAAAAACAAAATCAAAACATTGAAAAATCGAAAAACTGTAAAATTAAAGAAAATAAACTTGGTAATTTAAAGTTTGTAAAGATTGAAGAAAAACTGAAAAATTTGGAAATCGGGAAAAAGAAAAATCTAAAATTGAAACAACGAAAAAGAAGTTGAAAAATCAACGAATTAAAACCCAAAAATTGTGATAAGAAAAATTGAAAAACTTCACGTTTAGAAAATTAGAAGACTGAAAAACCGAAAAATTTAAAGATTCATAAGCTGGAAAATCGGAAAACTGAAAAATTTAAAAGTGAAAACTCGAAGAGATATATAAGTATAGTTAAATTGAAGAAATAAAAAAAAATTGATATTAAAAAAAAACAAAATCGAAACATTGAAAAATCGAAAAACTGTAAAACTAAAGAAAATAAACTTGGTTGTTTAAAGTTGTTCAAGATTGAAGAAAAACTGAAAAATTTGGAAATTGGGAAACTGAAAAATCTAAAATTAAAAAAACGAAAAAGAAGTTGAAAAATCAATAAATTAAAAACCAAAAACTGCAAATCGAAAAATTGAAAAATTTCACGTTTAGAAAATTAGAACACTGAAAACCGAAAAATTGAAAGATTCATAAGCTGGGAAATCGGAAAACTGAAAAATTTAAAAATGAAAACTCGAAGAGATGTATAGGTATAGTGAAATTGAAGAAACAAAAAAAAATGTATTTAAAAAAAAACCAAAATCGAAACATTGAAAAATCGAAAAACTGTAAAACTAAAGAAAATAAACTTGGTAGTTTAAAGTTTGTAAAGATTGAAGAAAAACTGAAAGATTTGGAAATCGGGAAACTGAAAAATCCCAAACTGAAAAAACGAAAAAGAAGTTGAAAAATCAACAAATTAAAAACCAAAAATTGCAATTCGAAAAATTGAAAAATTTCACGTTTAGAAAATTAGAGCACTGAAACACCGAAAAATTGAAAGATTCATAAGCTGGAAAACCGGAAAACTGAATAATTTAAAATGGAAAACTCGAAGAGATGTATAGGTATAGTAAAATTGAAGAAACAAAAAAAATTGGAATTTAAAAAAAAACAAAATCGATACATTGAAAAATCAAAAAACTGTAAAACTAAAGTAAATAAACTTGGTTGTTTAAAGTTGTTAAAGATTGAAGAAAAACTGAAAAATTTGGAAATCGGGAAACTGAAAAATCTAAAATTGAAAAAACGAAAAAGAAGTTGACAAATCAACAAATTAAAAACCAAAAATTGCAAATCGAAAAGTTAAAAGAATTCAAGTTTAGAAAATTAGAACACTGAAAAACCGAAAAATTGAAAGATTTATAAGCTGGAAAATCGGAAAACTGAAAAATTTAAAAATGAAAACTCGAAGAGATGTATAGGTATCGTAAAACTGGAGAAACCAAAAAAAATGAAATTTAAAAAAAACAAAATCGAAATATTGAAAAATCGAAAAACTGTAAAACTAAAGAAAATAAACTTGGTTGTTTAAAGTTGTTAAAGATTGAAGAGAAATTGAAAAATTTGGAAATCGGGAAACTGAAAAATCTAAAATTGAAACAATAAAAAAGAAGTTGAAAAATCAACAAATTAAAAACCAAAAATTGCAAAATTTCACGTTTAGAAAATTAGAACACTGAAAAACCGAAAAATTGAAAGATTCATAAGCTGGAAAATCGGAAAACTGAAAAATTTAAAAGTGAAAAGTCGAAGAGATGTATAGATATAGTAAAATTGAAGAAACAAAAAAAATTGTAATTAAAAAAAACAAAATCCAAATATTGAAAAATCGAAAAACTGTAAAACTAAAGAAAATAAACTTGGTAGTTTAAAGTTGTTAGAGACTGAAGAAAAACTGAAAAATTTGGAAATCGGGAAACTGAAAAATCTAAAATTGAAAAAACGAAAAAGAAGTTGAAAAATCAACAAATTAAAAACCAAAAATTGCAAACCGAAATATTCAAAAATTTCACGTTTGGAAAAACCGAAAAATTGAAAGATTCATAAGCTGGAAAATCGGAAAACTGAAAAATTTAAAAATGAAAACTCGAAGAGATGTATAGGTATAGTGAAATTGAAAAAACAAAAAAAATGTAATTAAAAAAAAACAAAATCGAAACATTGAAAAGTCCAAAAAAGTGATACTAAAGTAAATACCTAAACTTGGTTGTTTAAAGTTGTTAAAGATTGTAGAGAAATTGAAAAATTTGGAAATCGGGAAACTGAAAAATCTAAAATTGAAAAAACGAATAAGAAGTTGAAAAATTAACAAATTAAAAACCAAAAATTGCAAATCGAAACATTGAAAAATTTCACGTTTAGAAAATTAGAACACTGAAAAACCGAAAAATTGAAAGATTCATAAGCTGGAAAATCGGAAAACTGTAAAATTTAAAAATGAAAACTCGAAGAGATGTATAGGTATAGTTAAATTGAAGAAACAAAAAAAAATGTAATAAAAAAAACAAAATCCAAACATTGAAAAATCGAAAAACTGCAAAACTAAAGAAACTAAACCTAGTTGTTAAGGATTGCAAAAAATTGAAAAATTTTGAAAACTGAAAAACATAAGACAAAGAAATTAAAAGTTGAAGAACTGAAAAATTCAAGTCAAGTATGGTTTACACTACAGGTTTTTACTTTATAGAAGTTATTTGAAAACAAAAATCGCAAAACATTTTTGTGAATTTTGAAACAATCAGATTTTATTGAGCTGCACTTCGGGGGCGAGGGAAGTTCTGTCGGAATGACTTTCGAGCATTTTTTTTTTAAATGTAGCCACTTCCGTTACATACAGGTACTCTTATTATGTACTTAAAAAAAACATGAGTTGTTGTGTAAAAATTCGGGGATTTTTTAAAGGTTTCGTTCACATCACGAAAACTTTAAAAAGACAAAACTACTGTAATAAACTAATTATTACCGTATAAATCGTAATAATAATAATTTAATCCGTAGTTTCCAATTACTATTACATTAATTTGAAAAAGATGATGATTTGCAAAATGGTAATTGTAAATTACAAGTACTCATCTCAACGCATCACCGCTTAAAACCCCTCAAACGTCAATCGCACGTGTATTTTCCCACGTGACATCACGCTCTAGTGCCCCAATAATCACCACTAGAAACTGCAAGTTCACCATTCCACAAATCGGCGCCGAAATCTTCTTCCTCCTCCACTCCAACCTTTGACCCAGCACCACACGCGCACCAAACCAGTCCCAGTTCTCTTCGTCTTCAATTGGTGGAAGCGCCGTGACACTCGAAATTACTCATTTGACGTCCGTATATATTTTTTACAATGTGCTAGCTCAAGTGCCAGTGTTGGTGCAATCTTCACAGTGTAAATACCGCAAGAAGTCGAAACACGCGTCCGAGACGATGGCTAAAGGCAAGTCAATACTAAACATTTTATTTTTCTGGTCGCTGGAAATCCGACCGCACACCGCAGGTCCAGAAAGTTGAGAGTCGTAAAGGCTTGTAACGGTGTTCTTAAAGTCGGTGATGCAACTACTAGAATTAAAGAGGAAAATAAGATTTTAATTTGTAGTAAACAGCTTGATGGAGGAAAAATGAGGTTTTTATGTGCCTCCTAGTGATAACGCTTTGACTGATGATTAGTTTGAATTAAAAAGCGATTTCGCTGGGTCTTGTCGACGTGCGTTTTTTAATTTGGCTTATTTAAATTTCTATGTCATTATCTGTGTCAGTGCCAATGCCGCTTTTGTTTAAATATTTGCGTATATGCAAATTGACGCGGCAGGAAATTATTGTTCATGTTTGAACAATGAACATGTGAACGATAAATTTTGAATATCTATTTAAATTTAGTGTGAGATGTGCTGGCGGTTTTGTTTTGTTTTTATTTTTTTTTATTATTTTGATTAACTTCTGAGATCATTATATGTAAATTTATTGCTAGAAGCACGTAAATAGGATACTCGTATCATCGTATTTCACGATTTTGCAATAACTTATAATCAAACGCTAATTATAAATTTTGTCTGTATTTTTCCGAGATTGTAAAATTTCGAGTTTTTGTATAATTTTAGTATGAAGATAAATTTAAATGAATGTCACAAATAGTGTAAAAAAGTGAATTAAACATAAGATTCGTTCTAGTGAGTTTCAGATAAGCTGTTTGCGTTGATATAAATTTTAATGAGATGTTATGATCTATAATTAAGTTATATCACAGTGGAATTTCCTGAAAATCCAGAAATAATGTGGTCAAAGACATTGTGACAGATTGTTATTATGGGTTTAGGTAAACAATTAAATACCACCGGTGGGAATTTTATAGAAACTTAGATTTTTTTTTAAAGTACCCAACTTTGTCAATATGCAAAATGACATTTAAAAGCGACTAAATCTAATTATTTTTGCATATGTTGCATATTTTTACATATTTTATTTATATATCGATTTTTGCATTAATTAAAAAAAAACTTACTTAAATTAATACTTTCCGAAACAATATTCAGTGTATTCGTGTCCAATTTAATCCTGGAAAAAAGCAAAATTTCTGGCACAAATATAGTATAATAGTTTTTGTATTATTTGGTAATAAAACTCGAAAAAGCTGGCTTTCACCAAGCTTTTCTATGTTTTTTTTCTAGAATTTGTAAAATTAACATAAATTATCACATGTGCTTGTGTGTATTTTTTTTTTGTAATCCTAAATTTTTTCTTAATTTATGCTAGCAGATAAAATTTAGTTTGTTTTTATTTGGAATAAACCCGCACCGGTATCAGCCAACATTGTGACCGAAGTTCTGTGGAAGCAATGGCCCGTAAATAAGTTAGGATTATCTAAATTTAAATAATTAACAATTATTTGGGGCAAACATCTAAATGTGTATAAACTATAAACTAATGACTTGATTGTGACATTTTCCTTTTCTCAATGTTGCATATTTTTATAAATTCCTGTAAGTCCACTGCATCATCACTGACCACTTTAAAAGTTCTTGGTCTGTGAGTTTTGTTGTCTGGAATTTTGACGATTAAAACTTTGTAGCTTATAAAGTTCATTGTGATGACAAGCCCTAGAAATGCCGAGGATTGAAGCAACCTCGATTAATGTCAAGGCTTAGAGTAAACTGTTCAAAACATAACCAATTGATTACTTTTATCATTAGAATTTATTAAATTATCGTTCAGTGCTCTAGATAGACCAAAAGTTTGTGGATTTCATAATCAAAATGCTAGCAAAACATTTTTAAATACCTTGTAACGTCCAATTTTAGATTTTCCACAATAAAATTAAATTTTGAAATTCTAAGAATCATTAAGTTGAATGTCTGGAGAAAATGGGTAATTACGTCAAATGGGTAAATATTCACTAATTACATCCGCTGACGTTGAACGAAAATTTTCAAATTATAGCTATATGGCCACACTTGGATAGAAATAATTGAGACATGTATAGTTTGTAGAATAAAATATGTATCTTAATATTTGCAGATATGTATGCATTTAATATGTATTACTATGTGCATAAGATTACTAAAATATATTTTGTGAATAACTACATTTTAGTTGTAAATATTTAGATTCCATTACACATTTGTAAATATATTTTGCTCAAAATCTGTGCCTACAAATTCAAAAATGTTAATGGATCAAGTTAAGATTTCAAACTTTTAAAATTTTTCAACTGTTAAAACTGTAAAACATAACTGTAATGAAAAACAGAAAAACCGTCAAAGAGTATAAAGAAAATAATGTAAATTACTTCGTTGTTAAATGTGTATGATATAATTTTGTATTTATATTTGTCAAATTATTTACAATTATTTTCTGTCTATGTTTTATTATTTTATCTGAGAAGTCTCGATAAGTTCAACGTACAACTAAAACGGTAATAAATGTACGATACCTACGACATAAACCGGTTTTGTATACCAGTTTTAGAACAAAATGCATATTTTCCAGCAATATCCAACATAATTTGTGTTATTAAAAGAGAAGCAAATAAATTTCGAAAAAAGTAATAAAAGTAGCAATTGCTAACTATTCATAGTTGTTGTTTTAATGAATGTCAAAGTTGGCAGTGATTGCATTTTTTAGTGTTTCTGCGATTTTTCCAGCGTCAAATTAAGATATGTACAATAAACTTTTATCGTTGTGTGTGTACAGTTGCGAGCACAGAATCTTGGGCAGGGTTTTTCTGTCACTGAAAAAATTGGATATAGTTTAGGCTTTATTGTCATCATGACTGACGTGTAGGTGTCAAAGTCAGTTTCACAAATTATGTCAGTGAAATGACATTACTGCACTTACTGTATATCTGAAAAAGTAGAAAAAAATTTGGGGAATTACTGTAGGTATTCAAAATTAATTTTAATACGAACGCAGTGATAAAATTACTATTGGAAAAAAAGTTTCAATTTACAAATGTCATCATTAGGATCACAACAACTGAAAAATTTCCCTTTTTTTACATTTTCTTAGAAATTTTGTTGCTTTTTTTATCAGTCATTTTTTTTTCGTTTTTTTTTTGTTGCACATTTTTGTAATTTTTCTTGTAATTTTGGGTAATTCTTTGTTGTTTTTTTTCACTTTTATTTATGCTGTCATTTACCGTTTCTTTCCTCGCTCTTTGTCGCTATTTTTGTTCCTTGTTTTTTGGTCACATTTTTGTCGCGTTTCGTTGACTTTATTTTGAACACTTTTTGGTGCTTTTTCCTGTCACATTTTTTTGCCAATTTTTGTCCTAGATTTTCTCGGCCTTTCTTTCAATCTTTCCTTTTTGTAGAATTGTTTCCAGTTTGTTTTTTGTAGTTTTTCTTCCTTTTTGTCGTTGTTGTGTCGCTTTTTTATAGCCATTTTTCCATTTTTCTTTGTCGTTTTTGGCATTATTTTTTTAGTTTTTTGTCGTTTTTTGTTGCTTTATTATATCGCATTTTTTGTAACATTTTTGTAGTTTTTTTTTAAGTTTATTTGATCAGATTTTCTTTTACCGTTTCTTTTGTCACTTTTTTGGGGCCATTTAATTCTTTTTGTTTATATCTTTAGTTGCGACTTCTTGTGTTTCTGTGTAGGTTTTATCGTTGTTATTGCCTTTATTTTTTTCACTTTTTTGTTGATTTATTTTGTAATTTTTTTTTTGCCACTTTCTGTTCTTTTGTAGTTTTTTTCTCCTTCTTTTGTCTTTTGTTTCTTGGCTTTTTTACATCAATTTTTCAGTTCTTTTTGTTGTTACATTTTTTTCTTTGTAGTTTTTGTCGTTATTTTTGTTTTTAATGGCGTTTTTTGTTGCTTTATTTTGACGCGTTTTTGGCCACTTTTCGGTTGTCTTTTGTTCTCCCCTTTTTATTGTTTTCTAGTCGGCCCTTCTTTACCGTTTGTCTCTCCCCGTACTTTGTAACCATTTTTTCCCTTTTTTGCTTATGTTTTTTGCCGACACTTCTTATGTTTTGTGTAGTTTTTTGTCGTTTTTATTGTCTTGATTTGTCACTTTTTTGTTGCTTGTTTTGTCATATTTTTTTGGTCAGTTTTTTTTACTCTTCATTTACCACCCGTTCTTTTGTTGTTTCTTTTGTCGTTTTTGGTTGTTCTTTTCTGCATTTCTTTTGCCTCTTTTGTGGTATTTTTTGTCGCTTCATTTTGTAGAATTGTTTTCCGTTTTTTTGTGTTTTTTGTAGTTTTTCTTCCTTTTTGTCGTTGTTGTGTCGCTTTTTTATAGCCATTTTTCCATTGTTCTTAGTCGTTTTTGGCATTATTTTTTTAGTTTTTTGTTGCTTTACTATATCGCTTTTTTTGTCACATAGTTGTCGTCTTTTTTAGTTTATTTGGTCGGATTGTCTTTTATGTTTCTTTTGTCATTTTGTTTTGTTTATATTTTTAGTTGCGACTTCTTGTGTTTCTGTGTAGTTTTTGTCGTTCTTCTTGTCTTTATTTTTTCACTTTTTGTTGATTTATTTTGTATTTTTTTGTCACTTTCTGTTCTTTTGTAGTTTTTTTCTACTTCTTTTGTCGTTGTTTTCCTAGTTTTTTTACATCAATTTTTCAGTTCTTTTTGTTGTTGCATTTTCGTCTCTTACGGTTTTTTTCTTTGTCGTTTTTTCATTATTATTTTGTTATTTTTGTTTTTTATGACGTTTTTGTTGCTTTATTTTGACGCGTTTTTTGACACTTTTCTGTCGTCTTTATTTCCCGCCTTTTTTTGTTTT